CAGGCAGTGCCGCGACGCTACCATCTGCCGGATAATGGCTGAACGCCTCTAAGTCAGAATCCGTGCCGGAACGCGGCGATGTTGCCCCGCACGTCGTAGTTGGATACGAATAGGCCTCCGGGCCATGTACCTCAGCAGGCTGGCGACGGCCCCCGGGGAGAAACCCCCGGGAGCTGGCTGGCGGATTGCAATGTCACCTCGCGCGGGGATGAATCCTCTGCAGACGACTGAAGTGACCAAGCGGGTCGTGTACGCGTTCGAGTAGCCTTGTTGCTACGAGTCGCTGAGCGTCAGCCCGACCTTGGCTAGATTTGTCTTTGACACCCTCCCACCAACGGGTCCGGCAGCGCCGGGCGCTTGGAGGGGGAGGCGGCCGGGTTTCCCGGCCGTGACCCTTACCTTCCGGGGCGCGTGACCCGCCAGTTGGCGACGATGGCTTGGGCAGGCGCGCGGGCGGCCAGGACAAAGTCCACAGTTGGCCGCGGGCGGTGAGGGGCCGCCGCGGGGGTCGGGGCCAGGGCCAGGCTGCGCCTGCGGCCGGGGCTCGGGCTCGGGGCCGCGGTGCTGGCCAGTTGACGGGGCTCCGTGGACCCCTGGTGGTCGGTGGAGGAGTCCAGAGGTGGAACCTGCGAAGGAGGACCGAGGTGAAACTGCGGAAGAGGACTCCAATCACTCGGCCTGGCCAGTTGGCGGGGTCGGGTACTCGCCAGTTGGCGCGGGTCCATGGGTCCCCGGGTCGGCGAGGGTAGCTGTGCGTCAGCCGGGACCCGGCTAGGTTCCCAGGCCGGGGGAGGAACTGGCCAGTTGGCGGGACTCGGGGCGACTGGGGGTCGGGGCTCCAGAACTTGCCAGTTGGCAGGGCTCGATGGGGCGGGGCCCGTGGAGGGGCTCGGGGCTCGGGGCTCCAGGACTCGCCAGTTGGCGGGGCTCGGGGTCGGGGCTCCAGGATTGACCAGTTGGCGGGTATCGGGGCTCGGGCTTGGGGCTCCCGGACCATGAGGGAGGGAGGAGACGGCGAGGGAGGGGCCTGGGGTGCGCCGGGGACGTTGCCATGGTGCCGGGGAAAGGGGTTCGGGTGGGTGGTGTCGGGTGGACCGGGAAATATATACCTGGGTACATCCATACACACCCACCATCATATATATATCCACCTACATACATACATGCATCACCCATCGGGGGACCCCTCCGGTCCGGCCGCGGCCCCATCGGCTCCCAGACAGCCGGGCCGCGGCGGTGATGTCGCCGTCGGCAGCGGTTGGCCCGGGGCCGTGGGAGGGGCGCCCCGGACACTCGCCAGTTGGCGCTGGGGCCGGCGACGAGGACCCCAGGGGGACGTCGGGGGTCGCGGGGGTCGCGGGGGTCGCGGGGGTCGCGGGGGCGATGGCGAGGGGGGCGCCGGCGAGGTGGTGGACCGGTCCGTGAAAACGCCCAAGTCCCCTTCCTGCCCGGTTAGGGGGCGAATCTGGGTGGCCCACTTTGTATGGCAGACTCGCCAGTTGGCGCCCACCGCCATAGTTAAGGGTGTCCCCCTCAGCCACTTCCGGACCACCCACCGTTTGCACGCCACCCGCCCCCCAACGGGGGTCGGTGAGTACATGTGGGAGGCAGTGGTCGAGTCAGACGCAAGTCTGGCCGGCCCCGTCCTCCTCACATCTTCCATACCAGGTTGGCCGCTTTGTACTGGTTCCGGTGGTGGCAGGGTTCCCTCAGTTGGACCTCACTTCGGAAGTGCGAGCGGTCGCCCACCCCAGCCGTAGGCACGTTGCCGCTTGTCGCGGTGCGTCCCCGCGGGCGGGTCGGGTGGTTCGGGCGTTGTATCGGCAGGAAGGCAGACAGTGCGTGCGGATGCCCACTGGCCTGTGGTTCCTCCCAGCGTCCGGGCCCCCTGCCCTCCCGTGGTGGCGCCCCGCGGCTATAAAATGCCGTGGCGTGTCCGTAGTTCTGGTGGTGTCCGAAGGTCCGGGGGCCGCTTGGTCCCCGGCACCGATGGGGTCTGTGGATCGTTGGCCGCTGGCCAGTCTCGATACCCAGTCTCCTGGGGGGAGCCGCCCTATGGTAACCGCCGTTCGCCGGCGTGACCGTGGGGTCCGGACCCCTCACCCGAGGCCCGTATGCCGCAGCCCGTCAGCGCCCTCACGGGCGTCCTGGCGGGATTCCCTGCGTGCGGACCGGTGCCTGGGGAGCTTTCAGTGGGGGCAATTGGATGGTCGCCTCGTCCCCCGGTACGCCGGGGGAGCCGCGGCGGCCGGGCGTCCCTGTGGCGCCCCTTCCAGATGGAAGCCTGTTTCGAACATGCCGGTCCCCCCTCGGGGGGCCTGTAGGGCCCGAGAGGGCGCGTCCCCGCTCCGGCGGGCGGCCGCGTCCCCACGGGTCCGCCACGATCTAGGTATCTGGTTGATTCTGCCAGTAGTCATATGCTTGTCTCAAAGATTAAGCCATGCATGTCTAAGTTTAAGCGATTAAACGGTGAAACTGCGAATGGCTCATTAAATCAGTTATCGTTTATTTGATAGTACCTTACTACATGGATACCTGTGGTAATTCTAGAGCTAATACATGCTGAAAACCCCAACTTCGGAAGGGGTGTATTTATTAGATAAAAAACCAATGCCCTTCGGGGCTCCTTGGTGATTCATAATAACTTAACGAATCGCATGGCCTTGCGCCGGCGATGGTTCATTCAAATTTCTGCCCTATCAACTTTCGATGGTAGGATAGTGGCCTACCATGGTGGCAACGGGTAACGGGGAATTAGGGTTCGATTCCGGAGAGGGAGCCTGAGAAACGGCTACCACATCCAAGGAAGGCAGCAGGCG